TTTTGCTAACTACTTTACGCAGACGTGCGAACAAGGTCATTTTGAATTCATTTTCACAATGTCTAAGACAATTCAACGCCACTGTATAAAATAATACAAGAGCATCACTATTTTGCGCCTGTATATTATTAGGTCTCACATGAATGAAAGTAATAAAGAGTGTAATATATAATAATGATAATGGTAATAAAATTTCTTTCTAACGCTTTTAAAAACATATTTTGCTTATTTATAATAGATATTCTTTTCATTGTTACTAGTTTTTGTATTTACTACAAATTCGTACCTACAAAACATCACAAATAACGATTGTATAAAACATTTAAAATTCACCTCATATATTGCACTATGTCAAAACTCTACCCAATGTGTTTAATTTAAAGGGCTTTTAAGGAATGAGAATTATCCATCATTGATTTTAAATGTGAACCATAATAAAAAGTTAATTTTTACCCAATACACAATTGAATTATCGTTAAATTGTAACCAGAATATCACGTTTGCAATTATATAAGAAGCAAATATTTCATGTTCTTCCTGGGAATTGCTTACGACTGAGAATACTTTTAAGTTCAATAGTCATAAACACCACTGTATTTGTTTATAAAATCCTACATTAATGCAAACAGTAACTTTTAATACATCTTTAACGTTACTGACTTTTTCATAAAATTTATTTTTCAAGTAGGAGAGATTCTTCAAAATTTGACAAAAAGCCATGAAAGTTACTATTGCAAAATCGAAAACTCAGACCAATTGTTTCTTCCTACTTTAGTTTCAAAATATCTATTTAGACCAACTAAATGATAGAATAGCCACAAAATCCTCCATGCACATGAATACATTTCAATATTTATTTTTCAACCATTTACTTCCACTTAAAAAGTCTATTTTTTCGAGAAGAAAACATTCGAATTGGAGACGCCGTTTAAAAATTTGACTTGTTGAAAGACATTGCTTCTTGGTGAAGATTATATTCATTCCACTGTGCCACCGAAAGTGCTACGTTACTCATCAAACTGAAACGTGGCAACGGCATTTCGCGGACAATAACGAAAATTAGTATTCAAAGAAAGGCGGACATTGGAAGTCCTCCCTACACTTAAACAACTCAGATATCTTAGAAAACTATTTTTATTATGTATTCAATAAATAGTTTCTAAAATAACGTATGCATTTTATAAATTATACCTTCTAAATCAATTAAATTTACATTTTACCCTGCTTTAGGTCCCTCAAACCTTTTCGAGTAAATATTGACGTTATTGAAGATAAAAGAAGTCTGTTGCGTAAGAAAGGAAATACATTTTTAAAATTATATTTCAACAAGTTCCTGGATTTGACCTCGCGAAGAAATAGTGAATGGTTTTCTGCAGGTCGCGAGAATTCCCGATGTTGGAAAGTATTAGTTAAGAGAGGACAAGACGTTTATTCTAACCGTAGTGTGAAAAAATGCTAAGTAAATATCATGCCCTTCAATACGTTAGTTTTACAATAAAAATACTCTAAGTACGAGGTTTTGACATTTAAACTTATCGAAAGGTTTGCAATGGTTAGTGTAGCATATTTTTATTGCCGAAGTCCTTCATTTGAACCCCATAAATTTGATGTTAATTTACTTTAACATTTTTTGTTTTTTTAATATAAGTTCCCATTACTTGCATTACAACTTCTATTAATAAAAGAGTAAATTGATTATCGAGTACATCCGCAGAGCTATTGTTTAAAGGAGCAACCAAATAAATAACAATCAAATAAGTCAAAACAAAGAATAAAATAACCTGCTCTCCCGCCAAAAAAAGCTGCAACCCGTGCAGATTGTGTCATGCAGATCGAGCCGTCTCCTACGGGTCCTCCTCTGCCCCTATTGCCCTGACCGGTCACGTAACAGGGGTTGGTCGCGCTCTGATCGGAATCAGAAGCTTACACCGGTGGACTCCAAAATATTGTTCGGAGGCTCCGATTTCAATTCTGCGGTATTTCTTGGCCTTCTTCGGCCCCCGGGCTCCTGGCCTCATTTGAGGCTGTCGGGGAATCCTTGAGAGGTTTCCGTTGCGCGGCTGGGCGTTGAAGGAATGCGAGAGATGGAAACGAATGCCACACTGCATTGGTGGAAATGAAATAATCAAATTTCTATTAAATGAATAAAATCAGTTTAATTCACGAGGAAATCAACATGAATTATTTACTTCGGTATTAGAATAGAAATATTAAAACGAATCGACATACGATCTTGTCTATTCGTGTATTTATGTTGTATAAACAAATTGTTTAAAGATTGAGATATAATATTATCTATTTCATGTATGCAATAACCTAGAATCAAAAGATTTAGGTACGACAGATTCAAAATACACCGAATATATGAGTAAGTGGACATTGCAAGCTTTTATTGATTCTTTGGTCAAAAACGAGAATTAAATTTAGATAATTTCATTAATTATTTAATTAATATAGAAAACATTAAGAACTCATTTACAACATATTTCAACGTATTACAACGTATTTATATACGTGACTTTGTATTAAATAGAACTGCATAAGTAATGTGAGTTTTCAAGAGACTAATTTTTTTTAATTTAAAAAAGTTCATTTAAAAAAAAGGAGTTTTAGTTGTTTGTAAAAACACAATTCTGAAAATTTCTGCAACTTGAGTTAAGAGGCCATTGATCGAAATTGAAGACATAAGTTGAAAGGACATTAAGACGATCGATAGAAGCACTTCCTACAGAAGAAATAAAACAAAAATATCAAAAATACAATATCTGAACACTGTAGACCAGGATTTGAAACCATTCACTAAATCTGGCGTCTTCCCGACCCGAAGAAAGCACCGTATAAAAAGAAAGCTGCAGGCCAGAACATTCAGAAGCGAAGAATCTCCCACTGTAGTTTGTGTTGAGATCTCAAATCGCTCGGAAGAGAAGACGGGCTCCCAGTTACTAGCCACACTCAACTGCTCGGGGTCGTTTTAGTTCTTTGATCCGTGCCCAGAGCTCAGTACTGTTGCTTTTCGACCTTTCCATTCTTGGCAACGAGACGAGCGTGCGAGATTCAAGTAGAGGAAACGCTACCCTCGTGTGACTATCACTTCGCACAGCAACACGCCAATGTTTCTTGTGGCGCGAATAGAAGGGCAGAAAAGGAAAACTAAGATTCACGAAAATAAGATCCAGTCCAAGAGTAAGTAACAGCACAATATTGTATCAATTAACCTGAACATTATAAAAAGAAAGAATTAATTTATTTACATTAGCGTACCAAATTAAATTTATCTGGTTTGATATATCTAATTGCGTGATCATTTCTGCTTAGTGAACACACTTATTATCCGGCACCACTTCAACTAAATGTATTATCTATGGAGCGACACATACACTTTAAATTCGGTATTAGAATGTTAAGTTTTTTTTATTTCAAGAAAGTGTACGTAATCATTGGGCTAAAAAATTTAAGACGCAAATAATTTACAAATTACAACAATAAAATACTGATTTCTAAACACTGAAAACTTTTTTAACTATGCATCAATACATCTGTGTGAAAGAACTCAAGATGTGATATATCTCACAATACTTAAGACTAGAATTGGAATAAAATTGTCAAGAGTTTATGGATTGTAATAATTTTAAACCATAAGCAGAGTACTGCTCGCCTAAGAGACTCGTTCGCGTAGAACAACTAGTCCAAATAAGTATCAAAGAGCACGAAAGAAATGACAAGGGTCGAAGAAAATAGTAAATAAAGCTGCTTGTGTCATGTTTTCTGAACAGGTAAAGGGTAGGGTCAACAAATATCATAGGTAGACAAATGACATTCACTACAACACTAAGCGAGTGGTTTTAACGGTCATATGTCATATAAAAGTATTCCCACAGGTAATTCCAAGTGACGCAGATAAATAGTTTATTTAATGTTCTTCCCTGGTGACACTTTTTCTATGATGAATGTTCCAAGAAGAAAACGTATTTTTATTCCCAATCTTAATAGACATCCCGTGGTGATACCGGACTGCTCAACCAGGTGTATATTTGCGTTTCTTCTGCTCGGATAAGTGATTTATTGGTTTCCTTAGATTCTTCGCTTTTCCAACGCTCACATAGCAATATTCCGCTCTGCCAAATGTATATATGCGAGAGGAGTAAAAGATGAGCATTAAGAAACATCACCGAATGTTAACTGCAGCAACGACTCAGAAATCAAAATAAAACTTCTTGGGAACAATCATGTTTATTTCTATTTCCGATTGTAACTTTTATGTGAGCTGTAATTAAAGTAATGATGTAAGTCACGCATGTCTACCTTTGCAGGCAAGGTAATT